GTGGAACAGTGTATTTGATGGGTGACTGTAATGCTTTCTTGTAATAATTCTTATCAGGGGCAGTCCTAGCCTGTTTGTGCCCTGGGTGAACATCTCCTCTGGTGCCCCCCTAACCCCACCTTTGGAGCTGCACATGCCCAGCTATATAATCAATAAAAGGCTTGAACTACTTCAGTTGGTGTGCAATGAATCTAAAATATATGAAAGTTTAATGTTTATCAGTACATTACAGAAAATAATGAACTTTATCACAATATGCTAATTTTTTGAGAAGGACCTGTAGGTCCTGCAGACACTGTATTTCATGCAGCAACTCAAAAAGTACAACCCATCACAGGTGCTGCTGGTCATCTTCTACACAGCCATTATTCAGTCTGTTTTGAGTAGACATCACTGTGTGATCTTGTTCATCCACAAAACAGGGCAGGTCCAGATCACAATGAACATTCAGGTTTGCAGACAGGATCACAAGGGCTGACCTTCCCTCGATTCGGTACAGGTCAGTATAAGGGCTTAGTGACATCTCTGCATACTTCACACATCCTGGTCACAAACTGTTTAGAATATTACATTTAGAATTACTTGCAAAAACCCACCACAGAGCCAGTTTCTTCCCACAGGATGTCGCTCTGATGAACACAAAGTGCCTTCCAGCCTGAGTAGTCAGCTACTCTGCTGTGAAACAATTAGGCATATTTGCACTAATACAACCTGTCTTTCTTTTTTCTTTTGTTTGTGTAAGGAAAAAAAAATCTGTTGTTCATACTCTTTTTTCCCCATTTTTTCTTTGTCCTATTTTTTATAAGTTCTACTATTTTACAGATGTCTGTCTGCTGTGAGCCTTTAAACAAAGTCAAATTCCTTGTTTGTGCACACAAACTTGGCCAATAAATCTGAGTCTGATTCTGAAAAGACACAGGACATCATTATTTCAGAAAGAAAAGGGAAAACTATATATCTTAATCCCATTGCAAGTAATGAGTGAGGTGGCCTACCTTTAGACCATGTCCAGAACATTGCTGCCTGAAATGTTTTGGCCACAGACCCAACTGAAATGGATGGAATGAGGGATTAAACCAGCAACCCAGCATTTACAGGACGACTCCCTGAACAACTCTGCCATTCATAGTGCTAACACTTTAAAATATTGAAATATTATTTTTGCATGGGTTCTTTCCGGGCACTCCGGCTTCCTCAAACACACCAAAAACATGACTGTTAGGTTAACTGGTGACTCTAAATCGTCCCTAGGTGTGAGTGAGAGAGTGAATGGTTGTTTGTCTTGTTGTCTCTCTGTGTGGTCTGTGATGGTCTTGTGACCTGTCCAGGGTGTACCCCGCCCCTCGCACTGTGACTGCTGGATATGGGCACCAGTGACCCCCGGGACCCTAGAAAAGGAATAAACGCGTGTAGATAATTGATGGATGGATATAAATTTTGTCATATTACCCATCCCTACTGCAAAGCAGTATTCTTTGCTCTGTAAATGAGGATAAAGGACATACTTTGACAGTTATGAGTGCAAGTCTATGGTATTTAATCAAGTACACTGATCATTCTTGGCTCACTTTGATGCATACACATCTACTATTAGGT